AAATCTAATAATTACTTATAGTTAAAAATTATAGTTAAATCTAATTAATTACAATAGTTTAAGACAAGATGCGGATAATATTAGTCACAGAAAATTAAGGGCGGTGGCAAAGGCAGTTACGGAAGAGGAACCAGGAGCAGGGCATGTCAATATCATAGGTAGTGTCCAGTAAAGTAAAATAAGTGGCGTGCAAAAAATATTTGAATAAACTTGGGCTAGAAAATTTGTCTTGAAAATTTGTCTTCAATTAACTATAAGGACCACAAATGCAAAACTAACGAAGAAATGATCTCCTGTGGCTTTCTCCTTTTCCTTTTCCTGTTCCTTTTCCTACCCTTATCCTCTTTCCCACTCCTACTCACTCGGCCTCCTAGTCATCAATTTTTTGTTCTTGTCCTTCTTCTTCTTTTCGTCGCCTTAACTACCTCTCTCGCTCTCTCAACCACCTCATCCTTCTCTTCTTTGCACTTCTCCTCTTACTATACTGCTACAGCTGCTTCATTTTGTTCCTCTGCCTCGTTCTGTTAACTTTCCTCCTTCTCTCCATTTCTCTCCATAAGACTCGTCTCTTCTTGTCTGAGGTCCCTGCAAGTTACCTCTTTAAACCTTCTAAACTTTCTACCTCTCTAAACTTTCTAAGGTTTCCATAATACTAAAACTATACTGACCGTTTTCACAGCGACTTCCTTGATACCCTGGTAAGCAGCTACAACTGAATCTATTTTCACGATCTATGCATGATCCACCGTTCAAACACGGATCACTGGCACACTCATTTACATCATCTGTAAGAAAAAAGGAAATGAAACGGTAATGGTGTCAGGGTGTGACACGATAAATTGGTATTATGTTTTGTCCCAGTTTTGAATTCTTTTAGACTCGCTGACCACATGGTTAGTTTGCTAGACTCCAGATCGAGCGGTCTGGGTTCGAGCCCTGGCTGGGAACATTGTGTTGTGTTCTTGGGCAAGACACTCTCACAGTGCCTCTCTCCACCCAGGTGTACAAATGGGTACCAGCCGACTAATTCAATGTCGGGGGTAACCCTGCGATGGACTAACATCTCATCCAGGGGGAGTAGAAATATCCCTAGTCGCTTCATGCTGCAGAAACCGGGATAAGCTTCGGCCTGATAGGCCACTTTGCAGACTTAACCTTTACCAGTTTGAGTCAATTATGTTTGTTTTATATACGACAATCCCCAAATGTTAAAATGTCAATATCTGAAATTTTAACTACATGTGGCGAGTCTTCACCCTCTAGAATGTTCTACCCAGTTGCTCTTACACGTGCAAGTTTGTCCATCTCCAAAGAAGCCAGCGTTACAAGAACAAAGATAAGAGCCAGGCAGATTCTGACAAGTGGCATTGGCGTGACATACGGGACTTGGGGCATTGCACTCGTCAACATCTATCAAGGAAATGCAAACCTTTAAATATAGCAAACGATAATTACGAGCAAAATAACAGCCACATAGCGAACAGTGATTTTAAAGCCTAATTCGCTCTGAAAAATGAAAAGTGAAATATACTTGAAAAACGTCGTGTGGGTGTTTTTGAAGTTAATTCGAAGCAATCCTCTTTTACACATTTAAGCCTTTTTGGATAGTTCAGATAATTCCTTGATCAGTCGGTCATCCCTAAAACTGCCCAAGGGACAGACCATTATTTTTTTGAGGGAGGAGTTGGGGTGGGGGGAGGGGGGCTCTTGGACAGTTTAAAAAGAAAACATCCTGGAGAACAAAAACTGCTAAAAAAATCTTGCAAGGGAGCCATGGGGAAATACTCGAACAACAGTGCTTTCTACCATCCAGGTCTTAATTTTGATATTAAAAAATCTTGCACAAGCTATTGCCCACCAAAAAAAAGGTCATGTTCAACCTAAGGGTGAGAAAAAGTTTTCATGCCCCAGAAAATTGCCCTAACGCCAACCCCCGGTAAAAAAAAATAATAATAATGGTTCGTCCCTAAAATTATGTGAACAAGGTAGCGCCTTACATGAAAAGAGTCACCCCGTGGTAAAACGTGGGCCTTTTCCGTAGGATTATACAAGGTGTAAATCCAAGTTATTTCATGAACTGGGACTTCATTTCATTGATTTTCTAGAGTTATCTTCGATTGAAGCGCCCCTTCTTTCTATTTCGACTTTGAATCGAGATCTTAATTAAAAGTACGAAATTATAGGAAAAGAGATAAAAAAAAGGGGGGTTTCTTCTCTCATACGGCATTCATTTATGGGTGGTTGTCATGCTCTCTAGAACATTGTGGCCATAACTGATTTTTAGCATATTGCTGAAAGACCGCTAATTTATGTAATCTCAAAAACAGATCAATTTTAAGACGTTACCTTCGGTGTCCATGTCACAGTGAGTGAGCACAGATTTTCCTGTTTTATACTCGTCAAACCAGTATTTGCCACTGACCGCTTGTCCGCCTTCACTCGCCTTGATCTCTGTACAGGTTTCAGCTGGCAGCCCAGGAATTGAACCGAGAGGGACTGGAAAGAAAAACAGGGGATATCATTTTCCCAGGCATAGCTGGGTGAACTTTTTAATTATTGCCTCACCTCTATTCCTGTCTCGTCTAAAATAATATCTGTCGGTGTTAGACACAAAATCCTCAGGTCTTGCTTCTTTGGTACGATTGTTGAGCTCACACAGAGACTGGGAAATGACGTAATTAAAACTCTGACACGTGATCTCCTGATGACACGCCTGTAAGCACTCATATCCGAATGATACATGAATTGTTTTAAAGACGTGTCGCT